TTAAATACTATTATGTTCCATTTAGTCTAAAGAACTTTCTATAATACACGTAACTTGTATTAACACTATTATGTTCCATTTAGTCTAAAGAACTTTCTATAATACACGTAACTTGTATTAACCCTATTATGTTCCATTTAGTCTAAAGAACTTTCTATAATACACGTAACTTGTATTAACACTATTATGTTCCATTTAGTCTAAAGAACTTTCTATAATACACGTAACTTGTATTAAATCTATTATGTTCCATTTAGTCTAAAGAACTTTCTATAATACACGTAACTTGTATTAAATATGAGATGGTTAAAAACATTATTTTAAGTATTAATGACTCAAATCATTTGTGTTCCAGTTCAGATTTTAGAGTTGTAATTCCATATATTTACCACTTACAACGCTAGAATCCGGGTTTAGATACCCGTGGTGGGCAGAGCACAGATAGCCCATTGTGTAGTTTTGTACTTAATTACAAACAAATACCACCGGTCCACCACGGGACCTTATGTAATGGAGGAGTTTGAGCACCGGTCCACCACGGGACCTTATGTAATGGAGGAGTTTGAGCACCGGTCCACCACAGGACCTTATGTAATGGAGGAGTTTGATCACCGGTCCACCACGGGACCTTATGTAATGGAGGAGTTTGAGCACCGGTCCACCACAGGGACCTTATGTAATGGAGGAGTTTGAGCACCGGTCCACCACAGGACCTTATGTAATGGAGGAGTTTGAGCACCGGTCCACCACGGGACCTTATGTAGTGGAGGAGTTTGAGCACAATAGTCTGTAATCATGTAACGATCAAAGGAGAGAGATTCCTTTGTGTCGAATGGAATTTACTAAACACTAGTAGAAACGACGCCCTAAGAGCGGCTGTTTGTGCTAGTATTCACACCTCACTGAAAAAAAATTAGAAAACGTGAACATTTTCTAAAAAAGTATTTTTCTGGGAAGTACTGCACGGTAAAAGTGTTCGGATTGTGCTGATATAAACTATAATGTTTTTATATATTAAAAGTGCTACCCTTTATTGACAAAATAACATTCTTTTTTTTTTTAAGAACTCAGTTTTTTAGTACTATATTTATAAATTACATCAATAAAGGTATAATGAAACCCTCACGTACAGTCCTAGGGAAAGTCGTGTTCTTGTTGTAAGGAGAGTACTTTTATTTACAGTTGTGTTCTATTATAAAGAAATGGTTGTTGCATACCATAGTTATTTTACTAATTGTTTGAATCTTGAATACCCAAAATGTGAAATTTTTTATGAATTTTTGTTTGTGGTGTTATTCGATAGATGGCGCTGCATTAATGTATTATTTCGGTCACATACCTTGATACACTACGTCCAGTATAGTAAGATATATCACAACTGTATCACATCTAATACAGATTTACATGCAGGGGCGGCGCTGAAGGTGGCTTGGGGGAGGCTATAGCTACCCCAATCAGCGTGTCTGGAAAAGATTCACATAAGATCTGTTTATAAGTATGCAAGCTTCAGTCCTATTGTTTGTACTCATTTTGAATAATAACTTTCAATTCAAAAACTAGAGTTTCTCAACCACCGTTAAGTGGATCGCTGCCTTTCTCAGTCACAATCACCTTACCGGTCCGTGAAATTTCACGAAAACGAACAAAAATTGATATAATATTACAATATAAATCGTAACGGTTTTTTCATTGCACTTGCATTTGGCGATCTTCCACAGTTTAGAGAGACAGCGAGTTATCGAAAAGGTAGATAAATACTGCTCTATATGATAGAATCAAATTTTATTGTTACGTCATGAAGTTTTTTTTTTTTACGGAAAGACTTTTAGTTGATATTACTAGGCCTACATGAAATATATCAAATCTAACAAATGTGTTGCAAAATCAACCAACTGTGATAATTAGGCCTTTCACTACGATATCATCAAGGCGTGTTTTTACGATGGATATAAAGTGATATATATTTTCCATTTTAATTTCCTCCCACTGAAAGTCGCTCTTTCAGTATTATTTGACTATTTTACGTAGTTCGGTTATATGCTCGTAGAATGTAAATCAAAACAACATAGACCATAGAAAGGCCTAAATAAAATGTTTTTAATTGTGTACCAGTTTAACGTTGAATATTATTTATGATTTGAACATATACTGCTTTAGAATTATACACACGTACACGTATATTTATTACACAAGCCAACTGTTTCGCTGTAATCTGACGCTTTTACTAATCAAACTCCTAAAGATATAATTTTTTATTAAGCTTCGTTTACCGTGCTACGTTTTTATACGAAAAGTCATATTACCGAACAGATGACACTCACTATAAGCATTAACTTTCACGTTCGTGGTCACGCGTCCGTGATCGTCACGGTTGACGTTTCACATAGGCTAAATGGTGAAATTTATCATTATTTGTTCCCCTTCCCCCCATCCATAGTATAATGGAAACGGTAGAAAGAGTGGGTATTATGAGCTCTGTATTGTCTTCTCCACCATTTTGTTTACTTACATAAAAACATTTTAAATTCCTTTTTATCATTGCTGGAAGTTGTCGTGTTTTTTTTATGTATTGAAAAACAACAACTGGAAACATCATTAATACAATTCTGGAGACGGCTTGAAAGAAACTTTATTACAAATGTACAATAAACTTTCTTTCACTCCATACTTTATTTTATAAAAACTGGGTTCCTCGTTATCAAATTATTAATACTGTTACGACAGCGGGGGTCACGTGACCCTAGTAACGCGTCATATTCTCGAACGTTCACGTCCCTTCCTGAAGTCTCGAGAGGCTACAAGATATGCGGTTGTATATATAAGCCGCTAAGAAGTGGTGGCAGTAAGGTAATGAGTAAGAATATTGTTGAGCACGTGAGAAGTTCGTTGTGAATTATAGCGTTTGTTATAGAGTGACTGTTGAAACTAAGTGTATCGCAAAGTTGTATTCAGAATGAATAAACCAGTTTATTTAGGAAAGGACTTGTATCGGTAAAATTCTTCGGGAAGAATTTTTACGGAAAATTAACTAACGAACGGAGACGTAACAATACTATGTGCATATACTTTTCCGTTTCTTTAAAACATGTAAAAGAAATCTTTATTAAAGAAAGATTTAAAAACGTCTATTCTAAAGAATATTTATGTATGTGTAAATTTAATTGTTTGTTTTGTTGACATGCGCACTGCAAACTAAACAACTGATATTTGGATAAAAGCTACGCAATGAGCTAAAATGTGTGTGTCCACCATGGCCGTCGAAACCCAGAGTTAACCGTTATGAGCCTTCAGACTTACCGCTGAGCCACTAGGGGGGCTATATGCGTAAAAAGGATAAAAAAAATAGATTTGTTTACTTTCAAATTGACGCTGAGATTCTAGAGAAGCATCTTACAGTATTTGGTTATTAACCTTTAAGAAAAAAATACTTCGCAATATCAAAGTTAATGTAAGAGAACAAATTAACAGAAATAGTAAAAAAATAATAATAATTAGTTTCTCTCAGGTTTTGGTTTTTTTTTCTAAATAAAACATTATTTTCTTGCGTGTTAACGTTTTTGTTTGTTTTTTAATTATGCACAAAGCTACACGAGGGCTATCTGTGCTCTGCCCACCACGAGTATCGAAACGCGATTTCTAGCGATGTGAGTCCGCAGACATACCGCTGTGCCACTGGGGGCCTAACGTTTTTGTTTTAACGTATCTCAGGTTTTGTCGTTTACTTAATTCAAAGGCCAACTTTTCTAGTATTTTTTAATGACAAATACAATAAAACTTAAGTCTAATGCGAAAATATATTTAAAAAAAATTATATATTGTTTTTATCTCCGTTCATCGCAAAGAATCCAGACATGAAAACAATGACGTTTTGGCTATAATTTCAGACATTTTAGTAAAAATATTTTTTTAGTTTTAATTTTATACCAAATTATTTTTTCAAAGTTAGATTTTAACTATTAAAAACAATTCTTATAAGTATCAATGATCATATTTGTCAGGCTTAACACAAGTAAAATGATATTTTATTTTATGCACTTGTAGGAGAAACCTTTGCTTGATATAGCGATCTTCAGTGTCCTATCTGTTGAAAAATTTCGATTAACTGTAGTTCTAAAAAAAGTCCAACCTGTAGTTTTGAATTTCGCGCAAAGCTACACGAGGACTATCTGCGCTAATTTAGCGTCCGTAATTTAGGAGTGATAAATTAGAGAAAAGGCAGCTAGTTAACACCACCCACCGCCAACTCTTATACTACTCTTTTACCAACGAATACTGGGATTGACTGTCATAATATAACGCCCCTTTTGCTGAAAGTGCGAACATGATTAGTGACGAGGATTTGAATTCGCGACCCTCAGATGGCGAGTCGAGCTCCTTGACCACCAGACCATCCAATCTGTAGTTTATCTCGGTGTGTAAGCGGATAAGAACCATTAGCGATAACGTGTACCTCAACAGTAGTGGCTCTATACAAATTTTAGTACCACCAATGAACCAATGCATATTCATAAGGATGAAAAAGGCAAACAAAAATGGATCGTTGTGTTCACGTCAATTGGATTTCCGCTTGATGTGACTCCTACCCTCCACTGTAATGCTGCTCTTTCCATCACCCTAAATGTAACAAATCCTGTTTCCAAACTTAATACACAGCAGTGTTAATTTTGATGTCCCCGTCGCTTTGTGCTGGGACAGCTCTGTGATCTTCAATTTTAATTATTTAATTCGTATTTTTTTGAAAGGGGGCGTACTTATATTAAATTTCAATAGCTATGATTATGTTCTTCCAAGTTCGTCTAAACTTTTCAGATTCCTGATTGCTTTCTTTTTTGGTTTTTTCTCTTATGCTGTTCTCAAAGGCTCCGTAATTTTTGGGTTGCATTCTTGTCGTTGTAGTTTATTTTTCTATCTCATTCTTTTGTCTTTTGCACCAAATGTTGGCTACACTGTCTGAAGATTTCAAAAATGTATATGACTTCTAAAACTTGTGGTCATTTTGAGTTTGCAGTTTACCTTGACACTAAATAGCTATGTCCTGAACGTTCAAATGTATTAATTTTGGCATAGACATCTTGGAAATAATAAGTTGATAGCCGCAAATAATGAAGTGATAACAACTCCTTTTGTAAATGTTATAATTTAACTGAGCAACTTGTTTAACCTCAGTTACTCCAGTAAAACATATATATCACAAAGTAGGATTTGTTGTCGAACTTTCACTTCTTGCTGTCCAATTTCCATTACTTCCTGTCCAACTTTCACTTCTTGCTGTTCAACTTCCGCTACTTCCTGTCCAACACTTACGCTTTAGGCCTAGATAGTTCACGTACCATTCAAATGGAAGCTGGTTAACAAATGGTGAAAGTCAGACAACAAGTAGCGGAAGTTGAACAGCAAGACGTGAAAGTTGGACAGGAAGTAGCGGAAGTTGAACAGCAAGACGTGAAAGAAAATTGCAAAATAGTTTACCAAATTATTCGCAAAAATGTTTTCGGTTCACGAAAATACATCTGTCTTCTGATTCGCTAAACCAAACGTACTGCCATTTTGAACAAGAAACCATACACAAAGTAACAATATTAGAAATGTTTTAGTGTGTTTTTTATGTATATTTTTCCCTGGCTTGGCTGATAGTTTCCACTATATCGCTGTTCTTTCTTACGCTTTAGTGTCCTC